TGACAAGGATGGATCAGGATCAGTTTTATTCTAGTCATCCAGACAGATTCACTGGTTATTCTCAGGTTCTGAGTAGAGAGAGTCTGACTGGACGTTGTTACTGGGAGGTGAAGAGGAGAGGAGGAAGAGTTTATATAGCAGTTTCATACAAGAGCAACAGAAAAAGATGGTCAGAAGAATGTCAATTTGGATCCAATGACAAATCTTGGTCATTATGCTGTGGGAGGAAAAGTTACACTTTTCATCACAACAAAGTTAAAACTCCAGTACCAGGTCCAGTTTCCTCCAGAATAGGAGTGTACCTGGACCACAGAGCAGGTATTCTGTGTTTCTACAGCGTCTCTGAAACCATGACTCTGATCTACAGAGTCCAGACAACATTCACTCAGCCGCTTCATGCTGGGATTGGGTTTGACCCCTCAATTTTTGCTTCCTCACAATGTTTTTCTGAGTTCATTCAGCTGAAACAGTTATCTGTGAGTTGAGGGTCATTTGGCAGCAAGTAACATTATTACAATGTTATTGTAATAATTACAATTGCATTGTAATTATGCTTTTAATATTTGTAAATGTATGAGTTATTTTGTTGAATTATTTCATATTTTAATTTAGGGTGGATGTGATGTGGAGTGTTTCTTGAGGACCTCTGAGGTGGCAGGCGGCCACGAGGTAACCTTTTGTTAAAGCACGTGTCACCTGTCACTGTAAGATATCTAAAGCTTTGTATTTTATTTCTATAGTTTTCACGGCATTCAATAAACAGCCTGTCTAAAGGAAGCGGTGCCAGTATTGTCACTTAGGAGTTACAATCATTGCTATAATTTCTTCACTGCTCAGAGATCAGCTGTCTTTATGGGGTCACTTTTTAATTTTGTTTATTGATATTGGAGTTTGTGCTGCCCCTTCCTGTTTCTGTTTAACCAGGGAGCTACCACTGCTTAGTAGGATTTTGATTCACCTCATTACATTTACATTGCAATTATAAATCCTTGCTTTGTAAGACTAATGGTTGTTGATATTTAAATCCATGCACAGATGAGCTGATGGAAGCCGCAATTATAATCATAATCAATCATTATTTTATTGAACAAAAATCAGAATCTGGATCCTAGACAGTAATGACTGTAGAAAGAAACTGAACTGATACACATCATTCATAAAGTCTATATGACATTGACCCTCTGATTGGATGTTTATCATTTAAGACTATTAAATGCTAAACATTTAATCCATAATAAAGTGACAACTGTATGAATGGTGTAGGTTCCAGATATAGATTAGAAACTCACTGTAAAAACATGAGACATTGTCTTTAATTGTGATGTAAATGTAGACTTTTCATTTCATTAGATAGCTAAGATGCTTTTTAAATGTTTAATTTTCTCTTTGTGTTTTGTGCTCAGATTATGTTTTGTTGTGAATTTATTCTGTTTTTGGTAAAAGGAAAACCATTATTCTGGTATGATTGATTTTACTGTTTTATAAGATCCGTGTACTCACAAATATTTAGAAACCATTTAATTTTTAACATTTCATGTTAGTTTTATTCTACTGTTGCTGAGCTTCTGAGTTAATCATGCTTATGTCTATTGATTATCAAATTATTTTATTGCACCGACTTAAAGTCAGTGGTTGGAAACCATAAAAAAGCTTTTGTAATCTGTGTTCTACTTTGTGTTTGATAATGAATCAGTTATATTTTGTTTTGAAACTATTGAAATGATTACAGTGAATATAAACAAAATAAAAATGATTTCTGAACCATTATGTTTTCTGACTGGTTTATGGACTGGTTTTACTAGAAGGAGTAACTGAAACCAGTTCATTATCTCTGTGTTGTTCCAGAAGTTGCTCGTTGGGATGATGGTACTCAAAGTGCAGCACGTGAAAGAGTGGGAGTTCGATGTGAACCAGACATTTTAACAAGTCATATTTTCCAAGTCTCAAATCTGTAACGACTGAAATTAATATTACCTCATCAAATGCATTAAATCTAGTCCACCTATGACACTGC